CGGTCCACGCACTTGTTCCGTCAGTATTTCAGTGCTTAAATCCCATGGATGAAGAATCTTTCATCCTGTTGGTAAAAAAAAAAGTCAGCAACAGTAGATATGACGTCATCAGAACTGCGATACTAGTTCCCAGCTAACTGTTTTTGTCATGTTGGGGAACAGATGATAGTCAGATGGGGTCAAAACAGGAGAGTAAGGAAGGTGATCAACCAGTTCAAAGCCACTGTCACGCACAGCGGCAAGTAAGGACATTATGGTCACAAATTTTTCTCGTCAGAATCCATCTTGAGCATTTAAAGACTTACCATTCGTCCGTGAATTGAATACTGTTGTCTAGTCTGGTGCTTCTGTTATACATCTCGAGATTCTTGACAAAAATTCAAAGGGTCTCTAATATAATCGATCCTGGCCAGGGGTCTCGACTTCAATCACTTTCTCACCGACGTGTGGTTGGAATGTCTGTGGGTGGAAGAAGGGTTTTGGTGGGAATGAATGTTGGCAAATTTGGAAGATCGTAAACGTTCATTCACTCGCGTTCCCTTCTTTGTAATTCTCGCTGTGTTTCGCTTAAACCGTGCACATATCTATCTATCTATCTATCTATCTATCTATCTCAGTCTCTTCATATCTATCTATCTATCTCAGATCATATTTCATCTCACATGATTAAACCCTGCATCAATCAATCAATCAACAAATAAAATCTATCTATCTATCTATCTATCAGAATCTATTCAATCTATCTATCTATCTATCTATCTATCTATCTATCTATCTATCCTGGTGTCTGGTGTCTTTTCTACAAATATTTTTATGGAAACTGTTTTCATGGATTTTTTCCTTGGTGCCCCAACTACTGAATTTAAGCGTGCTACTAGATTGGCAGTTAGGTTTCGCCCTTTTACTGGTGAACTAGCTCGATGCAAGCGCTACTTCTACTCTAACAGTTTCTTTTCTCGTGCTTGTCTCTGTTAGTTTCTTGCTTCCCCGATAACTACAATCTTCAAAAAATTACAGTTCAGCTTCTATCGTCATCTTCTGTCTTCTTGAGCCCTGGTCATTTTTTTTTATTGTCTTTTCCTCAATCCTCCAAACTAAATTCTTTTCATTTTATTTCACTCCATGTAACCCCCTACGTTCTTCCCTACGGAAAAACGATAGACAAATGTTTCTACTTTTTCTTTTTCTTTTTCTTTTTTTGTGTGTTTTATATTTCTTTTCCTTTTCTTAATGCCTATTCAACGTCATCGCTTCTTTCTTTCTTTCTTCCTTTCTTTGTATCTATCTAAGTCTGTTTATATCTATCTATCTCAGTCCGTTCATATCTATCTATCTATCTATCTATCTATCTATGTCAGTCTGTTCATATCTATCTCAGTTTGTTCATATCTAAGTATTTATCTCTCTACATATCTATTTATCTGCCTATGTTTCTGTTCATATCTATCTATTTATCTATTTATTTATCTATATATCTTTATCTATCTTTTTATCTATCTATCTCAGTCTATTCATGTCTCTCTTTCTCTTCCCCCCACCCCCACCCATCTCAGAAGGAAACGGTAACCTACTGCAGTAAAATCTTCTGTATAGTTAGTCATGGATCGAAAGAGACATGATCGACCGGGCGTGTATCACATAATGCACTTACCTGACTGAACCCCTTGCGTCTTAGTGGCTCTAATTTTTTGCTTTGCGATGAAATTATTTAATTACCTTACGTGCTGTTATTTTCCTCGGTTAAAAGAAGCGAAAAATGAATAAACGTTAACACATTCCAAGTGAATTGATATCTTCAAGCCACGCTTGCGACAATGGCAAATATTTCAATGTACTTGAAACGAAATGAAGGGCATGGCATCAGGAACTGTGCAAATCAAAATCGTTCAATTCCCTTAGTTACCAGGTATATACGCATACTGAAATACTGTGCAACTTGCGTTAAATTAAGAAGGTTGGCTGAAAGGTTCTCAGGCTGACTAGGAAGGAGTGATACTAGAGCTGTGAAATGTATTGCATTACTGGTTACTTTTTTTTTTTTTTTTTTACAAAAATGTATTGCTGGTAATAGTTATTCTTTCATAATGTTTTGACCCCATCTTGGGGGGGGAGGTAACTATTTTTCCATAGCCGGGACCCAAACAGGGTGGACTTGCGAACATCAGAAATTAAGAGGTGGCTCCACGCTCCTCAAAATATCTCGAATATCGTTTATCGTCCTACCCTGGACGAAGGTTGAATATGGAATGATGTTAGAGCAATAAAATCTTGCGTGCATTAATTTCAACTCTTCTTATTAATAAGTGGATTCTTTCTTTCCAGGTAAACTGATATCTGAGTTTTGATCAAAAAAGTCATCAACAGCAGATATACACAGGTGACACCGTAAAATCGAAGGATGTCAAATGTCACCACAATTTCAGCAATGCAATGTTCCGTACCTCTGTCCATCCGCCACATTAAATCTTCTTATTCTCTTTTTATATATATATATATATATATATATATATATATATATATATATATATATATGTATGTATTTAAATAAAAAGAAAGAACAGTAAGATATATAATCCTAGTCAGCCTGGGAACCTTTCAGCCAACCATCTTAATTCTAATCTGAACACCCGCGAAAATCTTTAAATTTACAAATAGGAAAAAAAATGCCGTAAGAATTTTTTTGCCGTTAACAATAAATTTAAAAAAAAATCCAGACGACATGCATTCAACAGATGTCAGTTCTCATTGAAAAATACATCCCTACCCCTTACCAAAATGTAGCTAATAACCGATACAATGATGCAGACATAAGGAAAACCCAGAGACCCCTTGTCCAGTTGAAGTAGATTTATCTGTAACCATGGAAACGTGATTTTAGCTGTGTCTTTAAAACCCAGTAATTTTAAAAGTTACTCCAAAATTCGCTTGAGGATGAAATGGAACTAATGTCTTAATTTAATTGCAAAATTAAATTCGTGGCTTTTAGCTTCCATTTTTGAAACACGGTTAGAACTGTGTAGCGGAAAAAACATATTTTAAATCAATTAATTTTTATATATATATATATATATATATATATATATATATATATATATATATTTCATTTCAACCTTTGGAAGTAAAGTTTGATGATCCAGAGCCCTTTAAAAGGGCTGTGGTGAAATAATTTATCACATGGAACCTTAAAGTGGTCCGTTTCTTATTTAAAATATATATATATATATATATATATATATATATATATATATATATATATATATATATATTGAGAGTATTTAGGCAGCATTTTTTCATTCATACATGTTTCATTAAATAAAATAGACTAGTGTTGTTTAATGATAATGTTATTAAGCTTGTCAGACGTTATGAAAAGAATTTACATAAAATAAATAGACAACACTTGTCTATATTATTTAATGAAACATGTATGAATATATATATATATATATATATATATATATATATATATATATATATATAATACAAAGAAGAATCAGCAATATAGGTTCAGCCACTTTCCCACTGCCGTATGGTTGCTTCATTGTGCCTTTTATATCAATATTTTCATGGTAATTTTTCGGATGAGCTCTTCGCTATGTTACCTAGACTTTATAAATTTAAGCGCAGTATCAGATTGGTGACAAGGTCTCATCAATTCACAGTTGAGTTGGCTAGATATAACAGTAATTTCTATATTAACAGTTACTTTCCTTGAACTTTACGTTTGTGTAACTATTTTCTAGTTCCATACATTCCAACCAACTATAGCCTGCCAAAAATTAAATGCAATGTCAATCGCTATCTACTGTTCTCGTGATTACTCTTTTTGAACCCACTAATTAGTATATGTTTCTGTTTCTAATTATTTCATAACTAGTAACGCCTTGTGTCTTTACTGCCTTGCATGGAGTTAAATTAACAAAAAAGAAATGAAAAATATATATATATATATATATATATAATTTTTATACATTATATATATATATAATTTTTATGCATTATATATATATATATATATATAGAGAGAGAGAGAGAGAGAGAGAGAGAGAGAGAAAGAATTAAAATAATATCAATTCTGACGTTCACAGCATTAATTGAAAACTGGGCTCAATACCAAGACTAGAGTAATAATTATTTATTATAATTTTTACATACGGACAAAAACAACTTGCTCACTACAAAGATGCATTCTTTTTTCGATGCGACTGCATCTCGACTGCTGAAAAAAAGCCAAAGAACACCAGTCGAGATGCAATCGCATCGAAACAAGAATGCATCTTTGTAGTGATCAAGTTTATTTTGTCCGTATGTAAAAATTATAACATATATATATATATATGTGTGTGTGTGTGTGTGTGTGTGTGTGTGTGTGTGTGTGTCTAGGAAGTTCGGTGATGTCAAGGTACGGTGCCACCGCCTACCATTAAGTTTACATACTAGTACTGCCTGATTTTTGGCACGTCAGAGTAATTAGTTACTCATTTTCGGGTGTGGCATTTATCTCTCAGCTGTAGCAAGCACTCAGCAAACAGAAATTAATGATTAAACGCATTTATCATTGAAGTGAGTCGACTCTGAAGAGTTGAAAATCGAAGCATTTCAATTCTAATTTGCCTTCACATTGAACCGTCTTGGCTTTGTCTTTTTCAATCGAAAAAATCAATTTGTTTTTTTGTTTTTTTAAATTCTATATTTCTATTTATGAGATTTTAATTGCTTTTAAGTGATTTGACCGAATTCAATCATTGGAAATTGTTAAATTGAATGAAACATTTGAAATAAAAGCAGCTCTTTATATGCGAGGTTTATAACTTTGTCATTTGTCGACAATCCGCGTTGAAAAGAACAGAGGAACATAGAGACATACAGACAAACAGTCACAGAGAGACGTATATATATATATATATATATATATATATGTGTGTGTGTGTGTGTGTGTGTGTGTGTGTGTGTGTGTGTGTGTGTGTGTGTGTGTGTGGTTGGTATGTGTATGTGTGGAT